AGCAGATAAACATAAAATTTTCATTTTTGGGTGAACTATCCCTTTAACTAAATTGTTGCATATTAAAACTAATTGAAGTATGTGTCTCCTCTTGTTTAAAGGCAAAATGTGGCTAACCTGAATTCCTGTTCGCTGACCACCTCTCCCAAGTACTCGATGATGAATTGGCCGGAACGTAGGGGCTGTTTGGTTCGAATCCCCCAGCCCTTCCCTTCAGCCCGGAAGCGCTCGAGGCACTGCACCCACTCATGCCTCTGGATACGCTGGTTATCACATTGATCATCACAAGGACATGTACTTGGAGAACACTCAGCAAAGATCATCCTGAGGCAGACAGAGATAAGAAAACCATGGGATCCACAGCTGCACTAATGGGTAAGCAGAGGAGAAGAAGTAAGCCTCTTACCTGTTTAGACAGTCATCCTGACAGCCCTTCTCACTGTGCTCTTCAGGCAGCCTGCAGTTACAGGTAGTGGCTTCGTAGCCAGAAAGAGGCTTCACATCCACATAGACATCTAAGAGGGAAAATATTAATGCATTAGTTTCAAACATTTGCAAACATACGCATGCAAAACACAAAGTGTACAAAAATTAGAGCAGGATAGTCAGGAAGGAATCTACAACTCCCAGTCCTGCCAAATCAGTATATTTATGGAAACTCAAGCATGTTCTGCTCTACAGAGTTGTTGAGCTTATGGGTAGTGACAAAAACTAATGAAAATCTGCTTACTGGATCTGATCTTCTTGTAGAGAGGCACATCAGGTCTCTTGTAGAGCTACAAAGAACAAAGATGTATCCTTGAGTATATGGATTAAACTACTTAAAATCATTATAGATATTAAAACTTGTTTTCAGAAAATATATCCTAAACTAAGTTTATTTATATTACCCCTTTGGCAAAATATTTTTCATAAAGGAAAACCTTATTACATTTTGTTAGATTTATGCTTATACCAAGGGGAAAAGCATTTGCCAATGGAGGGAAGAAAAATTAACTTATTTGAAAACTTAATAATAAACTTAATAAAGTGACGTGACATGTGGCCAAGTATGGTGACCCATACTCAGAATTAGTGCTCTGTATTTATCCCATCCAAAGTGCACACACACAGCAGTGAACACACACACACACCGTGAACACACACCCGGAGCAGTGGGCCGCCATTTTTTGCTGCGGCGCCCGGGGAGCAGTTGGGGGTTCGGTGCCTTGCTCAAGGGCACCTCAGTCGTGGTATTGAAGGTGGGAGAGAGCGCTGTACATCCACTCCCTCCACCTACAATCCCTGCCGGTACGAGACTCGAACCCGCAACCTTTGGGTTACGAGTCCAACTCTCTAACCATTAGGCCATGACTTCCCCCTGAGAAAAATTATAATATTATTATCCTACAAATAAATGTCTCTTGTTTAAATTATGTTTATTGGAAACCAAGACCAAAATACTGATTAATAAAATGATTTTGAAGCAAAAAACAAATGACAAATGCAGCTGTCAACTCAGAGAAAGATGTGGTTTTAAGGAGCTACCTGATCATGTTTCCAAAGCCACAGGATGTCATAAGGCAGCTGGAAATCAATGCGTTTCTGTCTCAAGTATTTCCCTGGATAAACACCGAAGACAAATAGCAGTTACTAATTCAATCTCTTTGTCCTTTCACTTGAGGCTGCGCCATTCCAATATTGAATCAACTAATCACCTCATAACTCATAAACCATAACTAATCAGCCTGATTGCCCATGGGGCCATACATAATGAACTGGTTAGAAATGACAATGAAAGCTGTACACGGGCAAATCCACAACCTTACTCGTTGAAATAATAGTTCTTTAAAACAGTTAGGTTGAAAAATGAATCCTAAATCAAACTGTCTACCAAACTGCAATTAGATATAGAGATAAATGAAGTAATGCATGTCAAAATCTGCAGATTATTAGAACACAACTGCAAGCTAAGCTTAAATGAAAAACTCACCAACATGAATGGGGGCAGGAAAAAGGCCATACTCATGTTCACCTGGAGTGTATTCTAACTTCTCCTTCTTTAGTTGTAGCAGCTGACTGCGAGGACTGATGGGGAAATGGAGACAGGTTAAGTTTATTTTCCTGGCATATAAATGTTAGATAATAAGACAGGCTTAATGAGTCTGTTCATCCTTACTCGTCAGTCTTGTACACATCAGAGTAAAGCCCAGCCTTTTGAAACTTCTTTTTGGGTGGTCTAGCAACTCTCTTCTCCCGCTGACTGGTCACTGATGGGTTTGGGGCTTGTTCCACGGAAGTAGGGCCTGTGCGCTCTGGGGAGGATTGGCCATCAGGTTTTCCCTCCAGAGCGCTGCAAAGAAAAGCAGTAATTTATTATGAGATTAACCCCCGGTTTCACAGACAAGGCTTAAGCCTAGTCCCAGACTAAAATGCAATTCTGAGCTGTTTCAACTGAAAGAAAATTGGCACTGACTGATCTTAAAATATATCAGTGCCTTTGTTTTGTTGCACACCAGTAACGTTTTTTCAAAGGTATGTTAAAAAAAATTTACTCAAATGTCCTAATTGAACTATGGCCTAATCCTGGCTTAGTCTAAGCCCTGTCTGTGAAACCGGGCCTAAGACTTTTGTGGTGTTTAAGTCAACATTAAATTGATTTGATCATTACAACAACATTAAAGGTTCTAAAAAGTTTATTGTGGAGGAATGTAAAAAGGAAATTTCAGAGAAAATTAATTCGATTTTACAGAAGCTTTTTTGTCCAGGATATGGAGACAGAGATGTTTTAAGGGAAGAAAATAGGTGTATTTTGATTTCATGTTGATTTTAAACAGGTTTTGGAGATGTCACGCAATGTATCATATTTATTTCAAGCTTGCATGCTGATCCGTGTTAATTCAAAGCCATTACTCCAGTCTTCAGTGTCACATGATACTTCAGAAACCATTCTAATATGGTGAAATGGTTCTCAATTACTTATTATCAATATTGAAAACAGTTGTACAACTTAATCTTTTTTTGTGGAAACAGTGATACATTTTTTAAGATTCTTTGATGAATAGAAAGTTCAAAAGAACAGAATTTATTTGAAATCATTTTATAACATAAATGTCTTTACTGTCACTTTTGATCAATGTAATGCATCCTTGCTGAATAAAAGTATTAATTTCTTCCAAAAAATAAAAAAAAATCTACATTTTGAACAGTTGCATATTTTGTACCGCATACCTGCGAAAACAATGCATTTCCTCCTGCGTCAACCATCCCCTCCCTCCTTCTGTTCTAGCTCTTGCCATCACATCTTCCTCTCTAGCAGCTGGTCGTTCTTCTTCTTCTTCCTCCCCCTCTCTTTCCTCTGCCGGTTCCTCTTCTTCCTCGTCACCTCCTTCTGTCTCCCTTTCCCAGCGTTTTCTCTTGCGTCCCTTTCTGCGCTGACTCTGTATTACAGACTCAATGACGTCAACCACGGTGTCTCCCTCCCAAAGCACACTTCCTCTGTGCCTTTCAGGTAAAGGGTGGTTCTCTTGTTCAGATGTTTGTGGTGGGGGCGACGGGGGAGGCGAGGGCAGCGGGTGCTTGCGGGGACGGCCTGGACCTCGTTTTTTCACCATGTTGTTTCCTGTGCGTGCTTGCCTCTGGAGCTTCTTTGCACGAAGGATCTTGTTGACATGATGCAGGTTGTTTTTGGGAGGGGGCCGATGGGAGTGATGCGAAGGGGGGGAGTCACGACAGCATACAGGCTGGGAGGAGCACGTGGAGGGACTAGCCTGGCGGCTAGAGGGTCGGAGAGCTGTGACGCTTCCAGGCTGGTCGAGAGTGCAGTGAGAAAGACAAGAGGCAGAGTGTGAGAGGGATAGGGGAGGGTGGTGGTGATGGTGGTGCCGATGATGGGGACCCTCAGAAACCTCAGGAACAATGGATTGGCCAACTCGGTTCTGTGTGCCAGACACATTTCCTGTGATATTAAAACAAAAAGTGGGTTGAGTAGCTGAAAAATTAAACAAATTAGAACAACAATTAACAGAAGTCTCCCCATTGCCCAACGTCCCACATGTGTAATGTGTGTAACACAATGCAAAACCTTTAAAAAAAAAAAAAAAGCATATAAAACAAAAACAAATAAATAAAAAGCAAAAATCAAATCAAATAAAAGCCGGTGTATACCAAAGACCTGTTAGCAGCATGTATTACTGACAGCCTGCCACTGACTAAGCTAAACTCTCAAATTCTTGGTTAGATCATCTTTTTATATGGCACATTTATTAGCAGGTAAATAACAGAATGGGGAGTTGAGGAGATAAATTGGATTATAGATTGTGTAGAAAAGATACTCATCTCCTAATAGCCAAATTCTAATGTAGCTGAAAATAACTGCCTCACAGATTCAGCAAAAAAGCAGCTACATGTGTTCATGTGTGCAGGGCCTCATTAAATGTGTTCCCTCTATCCTCCATTATCCCTTTAATTAACTTACTCTCAGTCTAACTCACTTTTCAACACAGTCTAGTCTATTATGTTCTCTTTATCTTATCTTTCCATCAGTCAAACCCATCCTTCCATATCTTCTATTTCATTGTATTTTTTTCCCACAATTTCTCCATGCAAGACATGTTACAAGTCAGGGTTTAAAGGGGTCATATGATGCAATTTCAAGTTTTCCTTTCTCTTTGGAGTGTTACAAGCTGTTCGTGAATAGATAAGATCCCTAAAGTTGCAAAGCCTAAAGTTTCAAACCCAAAGAGATATTCTTTATAAAAGTTAAGACTGGTCCACGCCCTCTTAAAACACCTCATTCTAACACGTTTACATCACGATGTGGGAAGATTTGCATAACGCCGTCCAAATATTCACGCAAAGATAGAAGGCGTAACTTTATTGTTGCTGCCGCCGCCGCCATGTTGTGAAGACGCTGTGTGTTTCGTTGCGAAAGCGAAAATACTTTGTTTGGCCTTCCAAAAGCGGACACGACTAGAAATCTGTGGTTAAGTTGTATTTACAACACTGTTCCAGAACAGTT